GTCAGTTTAAACTGATTCCCTCCCAGAGGCCTGGAGGCTAGTAGTGTCAGCGGAGGTCAGCGTTTAACAGAGAACTGGGGTGGGGTCATGCAGAGCACAGGCACTGCACGTCCAGGGAGCCCATCAGGAGTCGCTAGTGGGATGAAGCCCTGAGTCCCCGCAGAAAGGATCCCATAAGGTAACTAATCAGCTTTGAATACTTGCCAATCCCAGAGAGCCTAAACTTGATTCCAAAAGTACCCATCCTTTGAATTCTTAGCCAGGTGAGGGGGATACTACGGCAAAGAAAGGATCAACCATAGTCTCTCCCCTTTTTAGCTTAAATAAAACCAAGCTGGGAGAGGAAAGGAGCTTTAACAACGCATGTCCTTCTAAGGTTTTAGTACTAAATTGCACTGTGATCAAGAAAAATTGGCTCAAACCTGGGACAGAATCTCCTTCTGGAAGAAATAGGTTTTCCAGATAAAATGTGTAACCAATTTTCTGATAAATAGCAATGAGATTGAAGTATCTTCTGGGAAACAAGCTACTTAGTAACAGTCTGGTGTCTAATGATTTTGACTTCAGTTTAGTAATACTGATCTAACCACTTCTTTACCTGTGAAGTATTCTTTGTATAATTGAATCATTGGATTGGCTTGTTTAGGCCCCTTCCCTTATGGAAATTAACAATTTGTATGCTGGAGGCCAGCAGGCGGCATAGTGTTTTAGGCACTGGACTCCCATGTGTTCCACTGCAGTTTGAGTCCTGAACACGGTGGCTTGAAACTCATGCTGGGTGGATGTGTATATGTGCCCAGAATCCCAAGAGAAAATAGAGGAGGGATTGTAGCATGGCCATCCCCCCTAGGGGATGATTTCTCGCTTTCTGTCTCTCCGGCGAGCACACATATTATATAGCAAAACTCTAAAAAAAAAAAAAAAATCAAATCAATTTGTATCCTGTTGAGTCTTGCTCTTTCAACATAATGATTACAGAAATATTTCAGAGACAGTAATATGTTGTTGTATAAAATAATTTTGTTGTCTCTGGAATTGATTATTCCTTATTATCAAATTTCTTTTCTTACTTTATTTTTCCAGAGGTTGTATATGCTCATCAGAGAGAGAGAAAACACCCCCAATGGGACATTGTCATGCCACAATCCTTTCTCCTTCATTTGTCCACCCTGTTGGAATTCGTCCACATGCGCAAATGTACCTGATATGTTTCTCAAGCTGCTAGGGTTGGTGTCTGAGCTGTGTGGTTAGCTATGAGGAATCTGGCTCCCTTAACCACTAGGTCACAGTGCTGGCCCAGGATTTTCCTTTTCTATGTATCACCTTAAACATAATCCTACATCACAAAGAAATTGTTTTAAAGAGTCCAAAGAAGTTAATGACTTGACTAGGATTTAATTTCAACCACTAGTAACATACAGCCTAGTTATTCTAAAGTGTTACTCAGGTTACACAGCCAAACCTTTCCATGTAATTTAATTGTGTGTTACATATGAAAACCCCAATACATTTAATTACATAAATAGCCATATGCTGGGCTGGCAGAAACAGCACAGCAGTAACACAAAGCTCCATGATCCGGACTTCTGTGGGAAGGTGTCGAGTTTGGGTCCAGATTTCTCCTGGTACAAATGTATGTGTTCCTCCATTCAGGGCTGGCTGGAGCTGGGAGTGGATTGTGGGCTGAGAATCCTGTTAGGCGTGACTGTCTCTCTGTCCTCTCTCTCATGGAGAAATGTTTAAAACAATAATAAACTTAAAAAAAAAAAAAGCCAGAGCCAGCCCCATAGCACAGTGGTTAAGTATTGTGCATTGAGAGACAAATACCATGTGGCCAGCTGGGATTTCAATCCCAGCCTGATCAGCTTGAGAGACATGCTGGACACTTGTATATGTGTGCCTAGGACTGACAGGATGAGAGGTGAAGGAAAAAGGATCATGGCATGACCATGCTTCACTGGGGATGCTTTCTCTATGTCTGTTGAGTGCACGCATCCTCTGATGATAGAAAATAAATTTAATAAGGGAGAAAAGCCAAATACTCATATACCAATACAGATTTGGTAATATATATAAGTTGGTCCAGGCCTTTGAAAAACAAATGGGCAATATGTTTCAAAAACAATACATGCTCGGGACCAGCAGTTAGTGTAATGGCTAAGTTGCTGGACTCCCATGTAGGCAACCGTGGTTCAAGTCCCGGACCCGGTGACTTAAACTCACGCCAGGCGTGTGTGCGTGCGTGCCCAAGATCCCAAGAGGAGAATGGAGAAGGGATTGCGGCGTGGCCATCCCCCCTGGGGGGTGATATCTCGCTTTCTGTCTCTCTGTCTTTCTCTGTCTTTCTGGCGAGTGCATGCGCCCTATAGCAAAAACCTCTCCAAATTAAAAAAAAAAATACATGCTTATACCCTTTGATTTGGTATTCTAACTTCTGTTCCCATTTAAAAACATGGGAAGGAAGGAAACTACACACAATATTTCCTTCACAATATTTTCTATGTGAATGAAGCAGTCTGAATGTGCAAGAACAGGGACTTAGGTAAATTTATGATTATACTCACTTAATATCATGAAATCCTTAAAATACTCATTAAGACTACAACATGGAATAGAAAGAATAAAAGTTTAATACTTATTTAATTACTTAAGATACAGATAGCTAGATAGCACAAAAGTGATAGTTGGGTTAGGATTATGGAAGATTCTTTTTCTTCTATTTTCAAAAATGTCTCTAGATATTTCTGTTATTTAAAATGAACTTAATATTAGAAACATTTTTCGGGACCAGCAGATGGTGTAATGGTTACATTGCTGGACTCCCAAGTAGTGTACTGTGGTTTGAGTCCTGAACCTGGCAGCTTAAAAACTCACGCCAGGTGTGTGTGTGTGTGTGTGTGTGTGTGTGTGCGCATGTGTGTTTACACAAGATCCTGAGAGGAGAATGGAGAAGGGATTGGTGTGTGGCTATACCCCCGGAGGGTTATTTCTCACTTACTGTCTCTCTGGAGAGCACATGTGCTCCATAGTGAAAAAAATCTCTTAAAAAAATGAGAAACATTTCTAAAGTCTTAGAATCACGTATTATTGCCAATCCATGCTAAAATGGTACATAAAAATTTCTATTCGCTAACATTCTGTTGTCAGACAGTAAATTTTTTAGCTAAGCAAATGTCAATTGTTGCTATAGCATTTCTAAAATTAAAATAAAACTACATAATAATTGCAGGAGTACTCTTGGGTAAATGTGGAGAAAAGTCAAAGATTGATTAAGAAAAGGAAAATGTCAACCTTTCTAGTCCTACTACTTGGAAGATATAACACATTAAGTAACTAGGATGAAATCTGCTAAGCACTTGCAAAGGTGACTGAGCAAGATAGAGGAAGATTTTGGAATAGGGGAAGGTATTCCAGATAATGTAGAATAAAGAGCAAAGGTTTTTTGTTTGTTTGCTTGCTTTTTCCTCTCTGTTCAGAGCAGAATTAAAGTATCTTAACTATAGGTCACCTACAGATTGTGGGTAAGCAGAGAATAAGAGGTTAGTGGAAGCAGAAGATCTTTGGTCTTACTCAGAATGCAATGGAGAGACTGAAAATGTTTGAGAAGAGTGAGTTAAAATCTGTTGATTCTAGAGTCTGCATGGAATGAACTGGGAGATGAGAGGAAGAGATAAATTGTGAGGTCTCTGCAGTAAACCAAGGCCTTCATTATGTAAAATTATCCACATAGTACCTCCAGAGTATACTTTTCTTTAAAAATGATTTAACCACATTGTAACCAAGTTTTAGCTGATTTTTTGGTGTTCTCTAATAGAATTGGCACATAATTCTGAATCAGATTGTAAAGTATTTTAGCTGTGTGACCAGATGCAGAGAAATGTGTAAAGGTATCGAGGCCAACAAGTTAAGTTGAGAAATGCAAATTCTCATAAGTAAAAGGATTTGGAATTCTGGAAGGTGGCAGATTATCAATATCTGTATCCAGATCCTTTGCAGTGTTGGGTCATTTTAAATTAAGCCTTTAAAGTAGCTCACCATGAAATAAAATTCTCTAAGAAAAAACTACCTTAACCTACTAACCAAATATCCTCAACTATCAAGTTAGCAAGTCCTTCCTTTAAAAACCAATCTGGAAATGGGGAGATACTTACTGGTCGAATGCTATGAAATGTTAATCAGCTAATATGAATAAGTCCTGGAGATCTATTGTATTAAACCCCATCGTTACTACAACTAATAATAATGCCTTGTACACTTGAAATTGCTGCGAGTAAACATGAAGTGGAATCAGCGGAAATAAGAACATCCAGACACAGCCAAATTATAGGAGTTCTTTATTGATTAAGCCGGTGACTGAGGGAGGAATAGTATCTATCAAAGACTCAGCAGCCCTGGGTGTTGGGAGAATGGGGTTTATAAAGGCAAAAACCACATTTGAGTGAACATGCCTCCAGCAGTAACTGTTGAGGATGGGAAGGAATGACCTTGCACAGGCGTTTGTACAGAAGCAAAATTAATCACTGTTACCTGGGGCATCTTTAGGGTTGGGGACTTTCTAGTCCTTATACAAAGGCAATGGAATCTTAATGGTCTTCATGGATCAGGGCAAGGGGTCTGGCTATGAATTACTACATTGCTAAGGAAGGGAGTTTCGGGGTTATTTAGCAAAGACAGTAGGAGTATTAATCACTCTGTTTACTCTAGGCAAAAGGAGAAAGCAAGTTTCCGGTAGAGAGAGGAGTTCAAAATGGAGGTGCTCCTGCTCCCAAGTGTTCTCTCCACATAAAAGGTTAAGTAGGGGAGGGGATAGCTAAGTTCATTAGCTTGCCAACCATCTCACAATGGCTACTTAAATCCAAACTGCACCTGGTATACCACAAATGCATGCAACTTTTAAGCTGGCGGAGGGGGCACTGCACCCCTCGAGAAAGCTGCGTGAGCTAAGCCCCTGAGCAGAGCCGCCAGCGCTCCGGTCCTGGAGCCCGGTGGCTCCGGGCGGGAGGGGCCGGAGAGGCGGCCGGGCCGGCAGGCTGCGGGTTCCAGGTGTCCCCGGCTGCCCTCGCTCCCAGACTCGCCGTCTCATTTGCCGCCTTCGACGCGTGACCCGGCGCGCTCGCGTCTGGGACCGGTGACAGGCTCGGGGTGCGCCTGGCGGTCCCATGTGCCCCCTCTCTTTCGCGGCCGCCGCATTCGCAGCGCCCCGAGCCCGCCTGTCTCTCCTCCGCAGAGGGCTCGCCGCCGCCATGTCTACCGCCGAGCCACTCAAATCCGTGGACTACGAGGTGTTCGGGAGAGTGCAGGGTAGGGGCCTCCCTACAGTGGGCGATAAGGAGGCGTTACGGGAGGAAGGGGAGAAAGCTGCGAGAGGAGCCTCCCAGCTCATGGAAGCCCTTTAGGGCGGGGCTGGGACTTCCGCTCGGCCATGACACAGCAGCGTGGGGGGTGGAGGGAGTGAGGGGCCGGGGGCGGGGGGCCGAGTAAGGGCAGGGGATGGGCAGGGGCAAGAGGGAAAGAAGACAGCCTTTGAACTCGTGGTCCCACTGTTTGCCCCTGAAGCTACCTGGGCTTGACTTGAATTTTAGGAAGAACACTTGGATGGTATTTGGGGGATTCCTTTATCAGAAGTCAGACTTTCTTTCCTACCCCTTTGTAACTCTTAATCTAATTTTTGTTTCTTCATAAGTTTAAATATTTAGTTGAAAAGGATCTAACAGTTGACTTATTGTAAATACATTGTAAATTAAAATGTTAAATCACTTTGAAATTTATCGAGCGGAATATAAACACTGTAGTGACTTTAATATCCACCATTATCTATTTAAAATAAAGCTCTTTAATGTTGGGAAATTTTCCAGGGTCTCCTTTTATTCTGTTTTAGACTGTTCATCTAAACTATGTGTCCTTAGACGGCCTCTGGTTTGTTCCTCATTTTGGTATCTTGTAGGACTCCTGTGCCACCGGGAATTGTTTTGAGTCAAAATACAAAGGGCTCATAGTCCCTCTTCAAAGTTTCTTTGTGCTCCAGGCTAGTTCCCTGATCTATAGCTGCCTAAGCAGGGTCATCCTTCCTAAGGACACGAACACTTGGCCCATGCAGTGCCTGCGATGTGTTCCTCCAGCAGACTCAGCCTGTAGTCCACTGCGTGGGATCTGGCTCACCGTGCGCAGCACTTAACCCCTGTGCTATGGGCCAGCCAGAATTTTATTTCGTAATGAGACAGCTAGGGGTGTGTTTAGAACATTGATTAAAGGTAGGTGTTAGGTTTGATTTGGGAGTGGTGGCGGAGTCAGAGGCGTCAAAGGCGAAAATACCAGAGTCAGGCTTTGGGGTTTAAAAAAACCAGCCTAATTTATTCTGCACTCTCCGGGTGAGGTCCCTCAGTCTGGTCAGAGACCGAGGGAGTCACACCCAGGTTGGTGCTGCTCCTTCTAAAAGGGCCGTTGTCCAAGTCACACCCAGGGTGGGTGCTGCTCCTTCTAAAAGGGCTGTTGTCCAATACGTGGTCACCACAGGTCCTTGTCTGGCCAATGGAGTTTGCTGTTTCTGTTTAACTTTGGCGGGTGCCAAATGCTGAAGGGCGGGTAAAGTCCCTTGGTGATGGCGGGCCAGGTGTGGACAACAGGAAAGTTCCTGCTGGCGGGAATGTTTCCGCCATGTTTCTTTTCTCTTCCCCCAGACCTTACAGTAGGATTTTTTTTGGTATTCTAGAAGTCTGTTTTAGAAAAGAATACATAGGGAAGTTGGAGATCAAGAAATTGATTTCCTTGAAATTATCTGTAGGTTTGTGTCCTTGAGAAACCCTTGGGGTACTCCTGAGGGTATTGAGTCCTGGTTTGAAATCTGCCACAATATCTCACTGAAGAATACTGCATAAATCAGGGAAGTTTTGGCAAAGATGATCCTCCCCCCCATGAAAAAAGAAAAAAGGGGGTGCTCTTTGAAGATTTTTTTTTTTTTTAATTTAGGAAACAAAAAGAAGTCAGAGGGATCTGAATCGGGACTATAGGTACCTAATAATTTCCCATCCAAACTCTTTCGCCGAGTTGACCTTGTTTGATGAGAGGAGTGGGCAAAAGCACTGTCAGGGTAGAGAAGGATTCTCTGGTGAAGCTTTCTGGGGTATTTTTTTCTGCTAACGTTTCCAGTAACTTTCAAAGGACACTGTCTTAATAGGCAGATGTTACAGTTCTTTGGCCCTCCAGGAAGTCAACAAACAAAATGCCTCAAACATCCCAAAAAACTGTTGTCATGACCTTTGCTCTTGACCTGTTGGCTTTTGATTTGAATGGGCTACTTTCATTTCTCTCTCTTTTTTATTTTTTTTAATTGCCATAGGGTGTGTGTACTTGCAGAGAGACAGAGAGGAGGGAAAATACTCCCAATGAGGCATGGTCACACTGCAGTCCTTTTTCCTCCATTTTGACATTGGGATTTGGGGAACACGTATTTCAAGCTGCTGGGGCAGGAATTCAAATCTATAGTCTGTCACGTGGAAATCCAGCTCCCCTATGCACATCCCTTAACCACTGCTCTACAGCACCAGCCCAGATTTTCTTAGTTTTTACCTAAGGTCTTTTTTCTATTCTCAGGTCCCATCCAGGATGTCACATTATATTTAGTCCTCTTGCCTAGTCAGGCTCCTTGAAGCTGTGACAGTTTCTAAGATTTGCCTTGTCATTGATGACCTAGGCAGTTTTGAGGAGTATTTTGAGGTCAAAGAGTTTGCACAGTGTCCCCCAATGGTCTGGTATTTTTGTCATGATATGAGGCTAGCTGCAGTTGAGAGGAAAGTCGCTGACGTAAGGTATCATTCTTTTCACACCTTGTAGAGGGTATATACTTACTATCAAAAAAGCTTATCTTTGTCGGTGGCCAACCTTGACCACTGGCTGAGATAGGGAGATAAAGTTTGTCATGTTGGGACCAGCAGTTAGTCGCTGAACTCCCATGTAGTTGACCCCGGTTCAAGTCCTGGACCCTCTGGCTTAACCTCACGCTAGGCACATGTGCATGCGTGCCCAAGATCCTGAGAGGAGAGCGGAGAAGAATTGACTGAGAAGATCCCGAGAGGAGAGCGGAGAAGAATTGACTGCGACGTGGCCATCCCCCGTGGGGGGTGATTTCTTGCTTTCTGTCTCTCTGTCTCTTCTCTGTTTCTCTGGTGAGCTCATGTGCCCTGTAGCTAAAACCTCTCAAAAAAAAAAAAAAAGTTTGTCATGTTTCTCTACTCTGAAGTTGCTCTCCCAACTCCTTTTCCATCCTCTTCATTAAAAAAATCGCCACATTCTCCAGAAGCTCCATGTGTGTTCCCCCCACCACCACCACCAACTTCTGTTGCACTGGGATCTTTGGGATGAAGGTGAGGACAGAAGTCTGACTGCTTTTTCCTGTTTTCCAAAATTCTTTCCAGAGGACCTGACTGGAGTCACAGAAACATTAACAGACCATTTTGACCCATTGATAACAGGATTCTTCCTATTTTTTGTCCCTGACATGGCATCGTTGTGATTTATGTTAAGACTCCTTATCTCTGTTAAAGTACATTCTTTTCTGATCTCAACAACCTTCTTTTTCTAATCACCAACCTAAAACTGTAAAACGCACCTATAGCCTAGAAGTTCCTGCTTCTGCATGTTCCAACCTTTTTGGGCCAGATCAGTGGAAAAACTCTTCACTAAATTCCAAACTTTGTCTTTTGCTCTGAAAAATCAAATAAAAGGAGCTCCTATACCTGATCACCCCGAGAAAGGCATGTTTTGCCTCCTCTCTGGGCCTGGGTCACTCATACTCTCCTTAGGAATAACCCGTATTAATTATTTTTACAGAATTGGTTGTTTACATCAACAAGGGTTAAGGAAGTAGAGGACAGGGTCTTTATTTTTAGAGCATTTGTAACTGTGGCATACCTTATGTTTCTGCAGATGTTTACTTCCATTTTTATCTAGCACACTGTAATGTGAAAATCTGATTTGAAAAGAAAATGTATTAAGCTGTGTATCGATACCTTGACGCTTTTCCAGCTCTCAGGTGAATACTAGTGACACTCCTAGAAACGCATGTAGCAATCTGTTGATTTATTCAAAATTGATAATTTGTTTTTGACAGTATTGACTCAGTTTTAGAATAAGAGTGGTTTATTGTAGTACTGACATAAGTAGCAATGTTCTTGAAGATTGTTTAAAATGAAAACCAAGGTAAATTATTAAATGGTTTTGCCAGATACCACAAAATTTAGACATACACATTTTCCTTACGTGGAAAGGTAAATGGAAAAACTGGTTTAGATATTGAAAATCTAAGCACCTTAAAGTATGTTAACCATAAATATGATTAACTCTAATTTTTCTCTGATCTTTGTTTCTATAGCATTTCACTTATAGTTCTGTCATATACTTCTTGTTTTTTTCTTATCTTTAACCCATTGTACTTCCAACTACAGTTAAATATGTGCTTGTCTGTGTTTCTCACTGGACAATGATGATAGTATTTTGAAGGTCAGGCTGGTGGCTGTTTCTATGTCTCCTGCGGAGCTGTTGCCTCTGGTGGAGACTTCAAAAGTATCTTGAATTAAGCTGAAGTGCCTGGGGGTCATTGGCTTGGGGAAGAAATGGTAGCACAGGACTGTTTGAATCCTTGCTCCAGGGAACAGACCTTTGACTGCTGGTAGAAGTTAAGTGAGGCAGAATTTTATCCCATACAAAGAAAGCCTTTTTTTTTCCTTTTTAAAAGATGTTTAATTATTAAGGACTGCTTTGCCAGGTACAGATTAGATGTCTTCCTGTATTCAAATGTACACAGACAATCAGCTCCCACTTATAAAGGGCTATATAGTATAATGTGAAAATCTGATTTTACATGAAAGGATGCTGATGTTTAAAGTTCATCACATGCGGGACCTGTAGTTGGCGTAATTACTATGTCACTGGACTCCCATGTAGCCGACAGCAGTTCGAGTCCTGGACCCGGTGGCTTAAACTCACACCGGGCGCGTGTGCGTGTATGTCCAAAATCCCGAGAGGAGAATGAAGGAGAAGGGATTGCGGCATGGCTATCCCCCCTGGGGGGGTGATTTCTTGTTTTCTGTCTCTCTGTGTTTCTCTGTCTTTCTGGCAAGCACATGCGCCCTATAGCAAAAAATCTCTCCCCCCCCCAAAAAAAAATTAATTACATGATTTCTTTAAATATCAACATTAAAAAATTTATTTTATTTTAATTTCTTTTATACATTCAATTACTATACATCACTTAGCTTGTAAAGTGAATTTTCCAACACATTTACATTTCTCACCATTGGGGTACT